TCATATAATATATCGACTCGTTATTAGTATAACATTAATATGTAATATATTATATATTATAATAATACAATATAAATATAAATCATTCACTTCAGTCCAATATGCAAGGGGTTTCCCTTAGTTAAAGATCAATGACAGGTTAATTTCTCAGGTGGTTTGGGCAAAGTGTGAAAGCAATGGAAAACAACAGACAAAGGAAAGTCAGGGGTTAAAGAAGGTCTGGAAAAATGACCAAATTTTGTCTTCCCAGAATGACAAAAACTTCCCAAAGATCCCCTATACTATAGGGAAATGGGTCTCAAATATTTGGTGCCAGGACCCCTGTGGCAGTTTGTAAATATGTCCACAAATTCTTTGATACTCCTTCCTTCAAGAAGTGGAATTTAATTTCCCTCCCCTTGAGTGTGGACGAGAATTGGGAACTCACTTCTAAAAAATTGATGTCAGAATTGACAGTGTCACTTCCCAGACTAGGTCAGAAAAGACATCACAGCTTGCTCCTTGCTCTCTTCCATGGATCGCGTTTTACTGGGGAAGCCAGCAGCCATGCTGTGGGGACACTCACGAGGTCCATGTGGTGAGGGACCGAGGCCTCCTTTCAACAACCAGCACTAACTTGCTAAGTGAGCCACTTTAGATCTACACTTCGTATGACTACAGCCCCAGAAACTGACTGAAATTTCTTTAGAGACTGACAACCACCCAGCTAAGCTGTTCTCAAATTCCTGACAGAAACTGTGAGATAATGTTGGTTGTTCTAAATCACTATGTTTTGGGGTAATTTGTTATGTAGCAGTGGATAACTAATATAACTCCTTTATACTCTTAAAAATGAGTGAGGGCCCCAAAGAGATTTGTTTGTACGATATATATCTTTTGATACTTTCAGTTTTAGAAATTAAAACTCAGGGAAAAAATATTTATTTATTAATTTTAAACTAACAATGAGCCATTACGTGTTAACATAAATACTATTTTTATGGAAAAAAAATAGTGAGAAAGTGATATTGGTTTTGCCTTTTTAGAAAATATCTTTAGCCTGGCTTAATAGGAGACAGCTGAATTCTCCCATTGGCTTCTGCATTCAATCTGTTGCAATGTGTTGTTTTGGTTGAAGTATATAAACAAAACCCAGGTTCACATGGATACGTAGTTAGCAAAAGGAGCATCTCACAGACTCCCTGAAAAGGGTCTCTGGGACTTCCTGGGTCCTTGAGTCACACTCTAAAACAGTTGCTACAGGGAAACTAGAAATCCATTCGGTGGGAAGTCAACAAAAGAGAAGAAAATGGGACTTCCTGAAATGCTTCTTTGGAGGATTATCTCTCAAGCACCCTTACCGCCTTCTCTCACTCCAAACTGGATCATATATGACTCAGAGTTATCACTTCAAAAGTAAGTGGATATGAATGGCATAATTTAGCCTACATCTGAGATGTTACTGATTTCATCTCTTAATTTTCCATCTGTAGGCCAGTCTCTCCCAATTCCCTCAAAGTCATCAGGAAGCAGAGCTCATGTCTGGCTATTCTTGAGCCAGTGGCAGGCTTGGGGACATGTGCAGTCCTTTTGGGAAGGCACCTCTCCTAGATTTGTGTTGGGATTCCCATCCAATGTCTACCCCTTATTTGTAACCATGAAGCTAGAACAGGGGAAGAGGTCATCTGGATGAGGGGAGGAGGAATGAAGAGAATCAGAAACAAACTGCAATTTAGTCCCCTGACTGCTGTCTTAAGAAACAGAAACTGAATCCTTCCTTTTATATACTTAGAAGAGTGTATAGAATGTGCAGTACGTGTACACACATGAGTGTGTCTTGCCAGTTTCTCTCTGGTGAACTTGACCTGGACTGTTAATAATAGGAAAGCCACAAGCGAAGCCATAAAACTGTGAGACCAGATCACAAGCAGAAAACGTTTTGTTTAATCAATAAATGTCTTGAATAGAGAAGTCCATTCCACCTTGTTTTGCTCTGCTGGATATCTACATAGGGTAACTTTACATTTAAATATGGCTTAGATATAATATGATACCTTTCTTCTTTAGCATTGACAAATGGTAGAATTTAATCAAACTCTACTCAAAAGAACAAAATAGTGCGTGTTTAAGAAGCTTCACTCCAAAGATTTTTGACCTTACAACACAATTGCTAATTGTACGCTGAAATAGAGAAAAAAAACCCTCTCACCTCCTTCGGCTGGATAAGGTTTCTTCATGTTCTACATGAGCAACTTTTAATACCTTCTTGTCAATAAACAGATCTTCAGGATAATAAGCAGATCTATATTGGCGTTGTTGAGACTGGGCGCATAACTTGCCAATCTGAAAAAGAAATGCAATATAATTATATGATACTTTCACAGATATGATAGTAGAAACAAATTCTGAAATGCACTTCAATGTCTTCCCCCAATTTCTTTTTAAAGAGCAGAACGAAGCTATTACTGGAGTCGAAAAAGGTGATAGGCTTCTAAGGCAAAGAGCCATCTGTGAAAAAGAAGGCTGAAGACTGGTGGGGGTCGGAGGGGGGGGGACTCTGAGCACAGACTATTCAAAGGTTTCCTAAGATGAAAAATGCTTTTCCTCTATGGTGAACTGCACATTTGAGAGGACCCTCTACACAAGACTTAAGCTATTGATACCTGTCAATGGCCCTTGGTATTTATACGAATGAAGAAGTTCGCAAATGGGAATTACAAAGTTTAGAAAGAACCCGTGCGGGAGGTGAGGGGGTGTGAGAGATGCGGAGAGTAGCCTGTTAATAGAGCAGCCTTCCATGCAGAGAGTTCTGTCAGAAGACCCAGGGTAGAGTATTCTGAAAAATGCCAATGTAGTTGCTCATCTGGCTTTTGTAAAAACGCCCAAGGGAAGGAAGAAGGCAAGCCAACGAATCAATCGCCAGTGTGGTCAGCTCTGAATCACATTATCATTGAATAAGTCCAGGGCCAAGAGTACTAAAGGACACAGGTGCTCAAGAAAGCCTATCTCCTCTCCTCCCTCGCTCTTTCCCTCCCTCCGCCCTTCCTTCCTCTTCCGTTCCTTCCTTCGTTTCTCTGTCCGTTCACTTGTTCATTCAAAAGTACTTGTTGGATGCCTCCCTCGAAAGCTTAGTTCTCTGACACTCATGTGGCAATGATTAAAAGATGGCATCAGCTTTCTTATCTCAATTCTAAATGATGTGGTTCAATTATTTGTAGGTTTCTATTTTTGCATTTTCAGACAAAAGCCTAAAATGAACTTCTATATAAAGAAGTATGTATTAACACGTCTCCCTTATGCCAGACACTAAGCTAAATGTCATCACTCCCATTTTAGAGGTGAAGAAACTGAGGTTTGGGGAGGTTAAGTTACTTGCTTGTGGCAAATATGCAGTGGATTCATTGTCTGACTTCAAAGCTTACACAATATCACCTCCCTAGAAGATGATGCTTAGTTTCCAGTTGCTTATACTCTCTCTCTCTCTCTTTTTTTTTTTTTAAAGGAACTCCCAGTCCTCAAAAACATAGCCAACATAGCCAAGGTGAATATATAGATTGTATACTTTAGGAAAAATATTAGAAATACCTGGTGAAGACAGAGGTTATATCTTTGGTACTTCTGTACCTCCACGGAATTCAGACTGAATTTTGCATGCTGTTAGGCACTCAGTAAAGGCAAATTAATTAAAATGAATGGAAGGAAACTCCTAGTATCAGGCCTGGCACACCATTTTACTGACAGGCCATGGGCTGCGTGTGGTCATCCATTTCTGGATTTCTCAAGATGTCCCCCATAACATTTACGAAGCTATCTATGTCTTTCTAAAAGCAAAAATGGCATTTGGCTTGTAGAGCTTTGGAAAGTTTTCCATATGTAAATCAATTCTTGAATTAGAAAAAAAAAGAATCTTAAGTCAGTAGTGGCATCATATCCACTGATGAAAGACAGCGCCTATAGTCTGATATTCAGACCAGCTATTCTCAGTAGTAGATCTTAATGGGAAGGAAATGAGAGGTGCAGACATTTTGAAATATTCCGCTTGCCTGTGGAATGTAGGATATTGAATTTTGCAGATGTGTTTATGAAATGCTATTTGACTTGGGCAGATATTAACTTCAAATGAAGAATCTGTATTCTCTGAGTTTACCCGAATTGACGGTGCTTTAGGCGAGGGGGCTGCCTGGCTGGACTGGGGAGTTTGGTTCTAATCACTTCCAAAGTTTACAAGGCAGATACAAATAACTGAGGGCAGACCGTGCATCCTAAAATTATGTTCATAGACATATACATGTTTACTTTGTCACACAGCCGGGGAACATTCGTGGACCCAAACCTTGATCTCTACTCCATAAATCTCTATTTATTACTCCGTGAACATACATCAGTGTGAGAATCTATTTCACCAGGATCAAAGTATTCTTGGCACATTCAGGAGCACGAGACACATTCTCTTGACCGACACCTGTTCCAAAGCCAGCACCAAAATCAAAATCGTTCACACATCTTTCATGGTAGCTTGTCTACTCACAAACCACAGCTGTGAAACCTGCCTCCGCATTGAAAGTCTGCCCTTTGTATCCGTGAATACTAATTGGGCCACAGCAAGACTTTAAAGTTTCTAACCCCCCACTTTATTGGAAAGGGGGTGCAGCCGAGGCAAAAGTAGGAAGGTTAAGAACAAATGAGAATGTAGCCAGTGTGACTTTTCTTCCCAAGCCACCCAATGTGGCATTATCGGGCAGACTCCCCAAGTCTCCGTGTGGGGTAAGGGGCAAACAATGGTGTCCTGCCCATGCCCCCAACCCACCCCCATCTGAAATCTGCCACATCTTATCAGATGGGCTGTATTTTCTTCCACAAATCTACCATGAAGCAAATTCATCTCATATACAAAGCATTTGTCAAATGTAGGCCCTCCCCCTTGGGGCTCTTCTCTCCACATCTTTTACCTCCACACTGTCTGAGCTGCAGGTGAAGATTATGAGCTCATTTTGAGAGGTGGCCACAAAAAGAAAACATAATTTACAAAGAAACGCAGTATTCACATTAAAGAGGTCCTTTCAGCATTACACTCAGGCAACATCAGGCGACGCCTGGAGGCCTGGGTCTCACTCTAGAGCCGCACTTGCTGAAGAAGCACCAGCCTCTCGAGTGGCATTTTAGAACTCCGAGTACTGCCCAAGAGTTTGGGGCTCTTAAACAACAAGTGCAATCCACTTTCTTCCCACTGACTAATGTACCTGGTCAAGGGTGCCGCTATCTTGAAATTTAGTTAGCGTGAGTGGATTTATTAGACAGGCGAGTGTCTCTATCAGTAGGCCTGGAATAGAAAACCCTTTCGTTTTCCACAAACTGTGATTCCTAATGGTGCATTTATTCATGTGCCAGAACCTATGGCAGGGAAAGCAATGGTGCTCTGAGGTGTTACAAGACTTGAAACCTAAGGAGGCAGGGCCTCGGGGTGCCTGGGGGGTGGGTGCAGTCGGTTGGGCACCTGACTCTTGGTTTTGGCTAAGGTCACGATCTCAGGGTCATGGGATCGAGCCCCACATCAGGCTCTGTGCTCAGTGGTGGAGTCTGCTTGGGATTTTCTCTCCTCTCCCTCTGCCCTTCCCTACGGTGTGCTTTCTCTCTCTCAAATAAATAAATAAATCTTAAAAAAAAAAAAAAAACAGAAGGCAGGGCTTCTGACCATACCCATGGTCAGAAGGTCATCCTAGCAACCCTAGGACCATTCTTTTCTAAGCAGGGTCCCGAGCACTGGCTTTGTACATGCATGAGAAGACTATACCACGAGGGCAGCCATGTATGGTGAAAAGCCCAGTAGACTGGGCCTCAAGAGACCTGGCCTACAACCCCATTTCTACCTGTCACCCATAACAAGCCTTCCTTTTGACCTGGTCCCACAGCTTCACTCCACCTGTCACTCGGGTCTCATGCAAAAAAGGAAGATATGATATGTGAAGTGCCATATTTGATTCTGAACTCCTCTGAAAAAAAAAGGTGAAAATGACTTTTTTTAAAAAAAGATTTTATTTATTTGAGAGTGAGAGAAAGAGCGGGGAGAGGAGCAGAGGGAAAGGGACAAGCAGACTCCCCACTGAGCATAGAGCCCCACTCTGGGCTTGATCCTACGACCCTGAGATCATGACCTGAGCTAAAATAAAGAGCCAATACTCAACCGACTGAGCCACCCAGGTGCCCCTGAAAATGACTTTTCTTTTTTTTTTTTTTTTAAGATTTTATTTATTTATTC